ATTTTACAATAAATCTCACTCATATCTATAAGTTTTATGTAGATGAGTTGGACATGTAGCAATCACATCAAGCATATATTATAAATATATTTAATTTTCTTATTATTTTAAAATTAATTATTTCATTTCAATTGATAATTTGAGATAATTATTTTATATATTTTAATGAGTTATATATATGTTATATATGAAGGACTTGATATTTTCAGTTTTGGTGTATATGCTTGAGAGATCTAACATTTAATTAACACAGATCCCTTAACACTACTTCAATATTATTAAGATGTATTATCCAAATTAAAAATATAATAATTTAAACTATCTCAACATAAACCAAATTATATTGATACTATAGAAATAATCACATCAAGTATATGTTACAAATATATTTAATTTTCTTGTTATTTTAAATTTAATTATTTAGTTTTATTTGATTATTTATGATAATTATTTTATATGTTCTGATAAGTTATATGTGTGTCATATATTATGTATGTCATGTATAAAGAACTTGATATTTTCAACTTCGACATATATGTCGTAAGAAATTTAATATTTGGTTTACACAAATCCTTTTATGCTACTTTAATATTATTAAGATGTATTGTTCAAATTGAATAATACAATAATTTAAAATATCTCAACATAAACTAAATTATATTGATATTAAAGAAAAGCTACATAATATTAGTTGTCAAGGGTAGACACGATGAAAAGTAATTGATAATTCATACATTTTATTTTAATATTTGAAATACTAGAAGAAATGATGTATTTGAGGAGCGATAATCTATGATCAATATAAACACTTATATAACATGATAGATGTCTATTATATTTTGTTAGTTAATTTGACTTAAGATGAAAAATCATCTTGATTCAACTTAAATGATAAAGTATATGAATTTTATAAAATCAAAATTCCAACATTTTTATTAATTAAAGCACTCGGAGGAAGAGGCTATTATAAAATTTCTTAAGAAACTCTAAAAGATAAATAAAATTAAATTTTAGGCTGATGCTAGATTTTACGATAACACATAGTCCCCTGTAGTAAAATAGATTAATAAAATCAGGTTGCCATGGATTTTACGATAATAAGATTTGTTAAGGCCGGGGAAGATGGAGGGAGGGGGCATCAACTTAACTTATATGCATAGCCTTTGTCAGTATCATTTCTTTGTTTTTTGATAAAATAGTTGCTTGATGGCCATATATGCTAGATAAAAAAAAACATGTATATTTTTTACAACGTAGTGATTTTTCAAAAATATAGAACCTGTCAGACAACCGCTTGATCATTCCAGACCGGTTTAACTAGCTAGGAAATGATCCTCTGCGGCCATGATGATCTACGACTGTCACCTAGCCATTACTCACGCTATAATCAGACGGGTTATGGTTCCTCAACCAGGCTTCGGTTCCTGTCTCCTCAGTGATTACGGATTTTCAGATAAGCGATCATACAGAACAGATCCAGTTCAAGTAAGGTCGTGATGCTCCTTGCTCCTCGGTCAATTTCTTGCTTCTTCGTTCTTTTCCGATGTGGTACAGATCTGGTCCTATTTTGTTCGAAGGTGTTTTTGTGCCGAGGAAAACGCTCTGTCCTCTTTTTGCTTCGAGCCCTGGTAAAACAGAGTAATCTGCATTTAAATTGTGTACAGTTTATATGTATTGTTTCAGTCAAATTGATCCCCATCCATTCATTACCCACGGATCTAATCGCTGCGCCTTTTTTCTGTTTGCTGTGGTTTTTAACAAATTTCTTTATGAATCATCCATCTCATGTTCTCTGTTGCTCACAATACGATGTTCCTTGTTCTTCTTCAACTCGCAGATCTGAGATGGCAGACATTAATGTTCTTGTGTTGTGCACGCATTAGTGGCCAGCCCGAGTTTAACTGGCTAATAAAAATGTCCCCTCCATTAAAAATCCATTTTATTTATGGAGGTTATTTGCTGTTTGATGTTTTTAGGATTCTGAGGAACTTCTTCGTTCCAGAAGATGACAATATGGCCTCTCTCCTCTTCCTCTTCCTCTTCGTTTATCATGATTTCCTTTAATCGCTTGTTCCACGATGCAGATTGCAGAGGTACTTTACTGGTGCCTTATGGCTTTGATAGATGAATCTATGTTTTTCTGTGTCTAAAATGATCATCATCAAGTTTCAAGAACAAAAGGCAAAAAAATTTCTTACAGCAACTGAAGTTTCAAATGTGATTCTCCCCTTTCTTTATTCAAATTGAGATTTGATAGCGCACTAATCCCCCCTTCCCTTCCCTTATTATTTCTAATACAGAGACTATCAACACTGAAAATTGACAGAAAATAAAAACAGTCAAAAGAGTTGCTGCAAATTATTCCATAAATAGATTCCAGGTAGCGTTCATCTTTGAGACTCCCAAGTTCTTTAACCTGTGTGATCTTCGGCTGCAGAATTTGGACCGCATCTTATCCCGCATTTGATCTCACAGCGGCGCATAAGTCTTGTGTTTGATTGAACGCAGCCGGTGGTACATGCGTCATTGCAATCAGAAGCATCAGACGCTACGTTCTCAAAATGAGAAGCGACCATGCTCACAATCAACACAGCAACCAATATTTTCCTCATCATTGTCCTTAGCTCAATCTCTCTCTCTCTCTCTCTCTATGTTTGCTTTGTGACCCCCTTCCCCTCATTTCTTTTTTATAGATGTCGTCTTAGATATTTTAGAGTTTCGTAATATTAAAAAATATTAATAAAATAATATAGTTTGAATACGATTGTTATTAAGAATAGTACTTAAACACAAGCTTTAATTAAAAATTTTGTACTTTGAATATTTTATTCTAACCTTTAAATTTTATAAAAGTTTTAATTGATTTTTGTATAGGTTAATTAATTTTAAAAAATTATTAAATAAATATGTTTTGAAATGCCATTATTATTCTAAATAACAATTATGAATTAAAAAATATTCTAAAATATAAAATTATGTTATTTTATAAATATTTTTTTTAACTTGTGTTGTCATCCCAAAATCTTTACCGAACCATGATATTTTTGTAGAAAAATCGATCATCTATCCCTTTTTTTATTATTAAAGAAGCCATCTATGTTGAATGCTTACGCTGACAAGAGACCAAGGATAAGGTTTTGACTAATACACTGTTACCGAGGGCGGCTGGTACCATGCAACTGTAGCAGTGCGACTGTCGGTGGTCCATTCCATCTTCGAGGTGTAACGTGGTTGTTCTATGTGCTAACCCTATCCATATTTATTATTCTATATCTTATTTAAAAAGTGGGGGGAAAATATTGTATATTTACTGTGTATATAAATTTATTGCTTTGTATTTATACTACAAACAACATTATAGTACTTGTGAGAGGTTTTTTTTTTTTTTAGTTAACAAGCATTGCTAGGTTGTTCGGTTCTATTGCCACTACATGGTGTTGGGTCCTGCAACCAGCAAAATTCCTTAAACGATGTTGGGTTCTGCCCTCAACATGACAAATCAATGCTGGGTCACGCTCAGCAAGACCCAGTACTTTAATTTTTTTTTATATTGTAACGTGGAAATAAAATAATGAGAGTTTTATTATAAAGTTTTAATTAAATTATATTAATTGATTCAATATAAACATAATAAAATGCTCATTTCATTGTATTTTGCTTGATTTGTTTTTTTAAATTGTTACTATGATGACGTGTGCGATATTTTTTGAATTTAAAGATAAGTAAAAATATTAAAAAACAATTAAACTAAAAAAATAAAAAAAATAATTAAAAAAATCCAACTATGAAAAAAATTGATTAAACCACTTAGAATTTTTTAAAACCTGAACAGTTTGGTTTAATAAGCCTGAACTGAAAAAACTGAACCGAATCGAATTTAAATCAAAAAACCAAGTCAAATAAAAAAAACCAAGTCAAATCAGAAAAAAAAAACGAGCCAAATAAAAAAAAACTAGTTTTTGTTCTACAATAACCAAATTAAATTAAACTTGTTGGTTTGAATTGATTTCAATTTATTTTTGATTTTTTAAAAAAACACCTGGTTTGTTTACTTTTTTTAATAAAAACATAACTAAATAAAAAATAATAATTCTTACTTTTGATTTCATTGTACAATTTTTTGTAATAATGTTATAACCATCATGATTAGTTTTTTTTTTGGTAAAGAGGTGTTCTATACAGAACGAAAGTGAATATTTAACAAATGTTTCTTTATTTTCCTTCCAAATATGATATTATCATCTCATTTTTTATAGGTAATTAATGTTAATTTTTTAATCATGTTATTAAATTAACAATTTTTATGAAAGTCGTTCAAGTTATTAACCCGTTTGTCAAATCTAACTGAATATGTAACTTAATTACAATATTGAACTGGATCGAGTGCATACAAATATACAATTATGGAAAGAAGAGTTGTGCCCTGAAGGACACCTATACTGTCTCCCTCGAGAAGAGACCGCAGCGTGGAGAAGGGGGAAATTGATTATCAATTTGCTGCTTGCGTGTAAGGTTACGTGGTAATTCAAGCTTTATGTTAGAATATTTGATAGAAAACATTAAAGGTAAACAATGGCATCACTTTTTAGAGAGAAAGTAATTTAGATGAAAATATAGATAAAAAAAACTTAAAAATTAACTAAAGTATTTAATTAAGAATTCAAAATAAAAAAATTGATATTCAAAACTGCTTATTAAAAATATTACCAAAGAAAAAGTAAAGTAGAAAAGTGTCTTCAAAACTGTAATTCTAAATTCATTTATATTATGAATTGAAATAATGAAATGAACGTTTTTTTTATCAAAAAAATACATGTGACCTGGGTATTAAATATAATAGAGTCTATATATATGTATGTGTATATAAAATAAAATTATTAATTTACTTTTAAAAACAGAAAATATTGAAATTTTAAAATCACAAATTCTTTAACTAGTGTTCCTAGCCTTTTTCTTTTTGCATTTTGATTTTTTTAGTTGTTATCAGGTTAAAACAATAAGCACTTTTATAATTGAATAAATATAAATATTATAATAAAAAGATGATTAATATATATATTTTACACATTAACATATAGAATGAACCGTGTCATTTAAATAACATATATAAGATGATGCAATAGTTAAATAATGGCTTTTAGGATATCATTTTAACTGTGTCAACAACCCCTCGCAATGCTAATGGCTTTTTTTTATTATTTTCGTTGTACTCATTGATTTTAAAGCTTTAACCTTCATATTTTCAAAACAATCATTTATTTTATTTCTTTAATTTTTTTCATGTTCCTTTATTAAAATTTAGTTTATTTAAAATAATTTATAAAATTTAATTTTTTTCAACTTCATCATCCTTTACTTTTTTTTATCTATCAAATTTGATTATTGTTCTTTTTATTACTATTTGTTTTATTTTATTTTGAATCATTTTCTTAATTGAATTTATTTTTTATTTTCACCCCTCATTATTTAATTTAATTATTTTTTCTGACTTTACTCTTTAACATTAAATTAATTAGAAAATAAGCTTCTTTATTTAACCTAAATTTAATATTTCACGGGTTATAATTTTAAAAGACTAATCCAGGCATGAAAGCTTTGCATGAGATTACTTAGTTTTTTTTTTTTAGTTTTTTTTTAATTTTATCCTTCGACATTTATTTCATTGAAAATTAGGCTATGTTATTTTCTTTCCTTACTTATTTTCTATAAATTTTTTCTCTAGTTTTGAAAATTACTTAAATTATCTAGAGCCTTTTTTATTATTATTCTTTGTTAATTTTAGCTTTGTAAAAATAATTTTTTTAATTAAATTATATTAATTGATTAAATATAAACATGAGATGCTTGTTTCCTGATATTTTACTTAGTTTGATTTTCAGTTATAATAATATCATGTAAAATATCTTTTTGATGTTATCTTTTGCAGTAATATCATAACCATCTTGATTAGTTTTTTTTTTTTTTTTTATGGTTGAGTGGTGTTTATTGTAGAATGACAATAAGTCTTCTGACTTTTTTTCATTCTTCTTTAGTTATTATTAAATTTTTAATTATATTATTAAATTAATTAATCTTACTGAACTCAGTAAAATTAATGACTTGATTTTCTTTCTTTCAAAAACATTGATGTCATCTAAATATTTTATTTGCTTTCGAAAAAAATTAACTCCTCTTGTGGCGCAACGTGGTATAACAATTGTTTTTTCCTAGAAAATATTAGTCAGCTTTGCTTTTTTAGAAACGTTGGTATTCCAATTTAGTTATGATTGAAATTTTAAAGGCTTGCTTCTCTCTTTTTTTTAATCAAATAATTAAATTAAGCTAATACAGAACGACCGTCCAAACTTTAATTTAGCCAGCATTGATTCATTCAAAGGGATAATTAAACGAGGATACTCATAGGATTGGGGAAAAAAGAAAAGAAAAGAAAACCTTTTTTATGGTTTATTTACTGCTATCCCTTCTTTGTCTGATTTTTTTTCAATAGGTGATCTTACGGTCGGTAATTTTTATGAAAAGGAGGATAACTATAATTATTATATCAAGTTTGAATTGAATAAAATATTATAAAAAAATCACGAATACAATTTTGAATATATAAGCTATTTAAACAAAATTAAGAAATGATTATTCAAATTTGGTTGGAGTAAATTTACGAAGCATTTTGGACTTTTGGAATACCCAACTTTTAAAATTTTACTAATTATAAAATTCATACAATATTTTTTCTAAATATACAAAAACATACATACCAAAAAATAAAAAAATCACACATGTTTACACATTATTAAAAAATAAAAATCTTAAAAATAATTCAAAACAATTCTCCTAAATTTTAAAAATAGATTGGAGAAGTTGCTGCAAAACTCAAGAATCATACTGAAAATAAGAGTTTTGAAACTCGGCCTGGCCCTACAGGTTAATCTAAGACCTAGAGATCTAGAGCTGAAATTGATTCGAGTTGAAAAAAATAGAGGAAGGAAAAATTTAGTATGACCTATTTGACTCGGCAGGTTGACTTGGAAACCCAGTAAGACCTAGTCAAGAATCAATTATAAACTTATTAATTTTTTAATTTTTTTTATTAAAATAGTGTCATTTTATTTTTTTAAATAAAATTTAACCTGATTAATTTGGTCAAAATCTAAAAACCGAGACTTGAATTTAGCCGGGTAACAGAAGTATGTTGAAAACTTCTGAAATTAAAAATAGTGGC